TCTCCTGAGACGCTCGAATGGCGAACGTTAAAGAAGTAGAGCTCTTGGGGCTCTGGGTCAGCCCCTTCGTGCGGAGGGTCGAGTGGGCGCTGAAGCTCAAGGGCATACCCTACGACTACATCGAGGAAGACATCCTCAACAAGAGCCCCCTGCTTCTGCGGCTCAACCCTGTTCACCAGAAGGTCCCCGTCCTCGTCCATGAAGGCAGAGTGGTCTCCGAGTCCTTCCTCATTCTCGAGTACATCGACGAGACGTGAAGACACAGCCCCCTGCTCCCTCGCGATCCTTATGACAGAGCCATGGCCCGATTCTAGGCTTCAGTCGCAGAGGGCAGGGTGAATTTTCTTTCTCTCCTTTTGGGGTCCTCCTTTTCAAGATTTGTCGTTCTTTGAGGGAAGAAAAAAGAAACTGGGTCTCGGTTTTCTTGATAGATCGTGTAAAAAATGTGTAGTTTGGCTGGGGAGTTTGCTGTTAGACCTAATGATCATCGAGCATTCATCTATCCTCTGTCCGGAAAGGAATGAAGCCCAGTGTCAGATGCTGCACCTGTTCCTTTCTCGGTGCAGAGAATAATAGCTTTGCTTGCCCTTGTTTTCCTTATGAGTAGAGCTTTGGAATTGTATTTAAGATTCAACAGTTGTGTATGGATCGTAATGGTGTGGTTTGTGAGTTACCCTGTTCCTGTGTGTATGATTTCACTCTGTCTTAGGTTGTTCTTCGGTGCGCAGATTGACACTTGAAGCTCCCACTGTAGACGAGTGAGATTGAAAATGGATACTATTGCCTTCTCTATGAGTCTAACCTGACATTGCATTTGGATTCAGTATGGTAAACAAAAGAAGAACAGGCCAGAAGGATCCACTATTTCTAAGGCAAATTAGTTCCAATTTCCAAACATTTTCACCGGAGTATTTTGCGAACTGTTGATTCAACGGTTGTTCTCGAAAGCAGCCGATGCAAAATGTAGTTATGCTCGTAGTTTAGATGTAAATCAAAATTTTGCACCTTCTTAATTTTTACTTGAGCCCGTCTCTAGTTCTTGCATCAGAAATTTATACCTCAAAGATACGATACAAATCTTTGGTTTTGATCCTACAGGTTTTAGAGAATGCTTGGCTTGCTGTGTGCTCTGAGGAAGGAGAGGAAAAAGAAAGAGCCATAGAATTAGCCACTGAAGCTTTGGGACACATTGAAGGAGTGATCAGAGGCAAGGCCTTCTTTGGTGGTGAAGCAATTGAGTACTTGGACCTTGCAGTCGGTTGGGTCTCTCTTTGGCTGCCTGTCTGGGACGACGTCGGTTCGATGAAGATCTTTGACCCGGCAAAGTACCCGGCCACCGTGGCATGGACCGGCAGGTTCATCGAGCACCCAGTGATCAAGGAAAACTTGCCACCGAGGGACAAGATGGTGGTCTACTGCCGTGATAAGCGCAGCCAAATAATGGCTTCCAAGAGTCATGCCTAAGCCAAGATGGTCATGTGCGATAGTTCTGTTCTGGTTCATATAGAATAAAGCGATGCTGAACATTCAGCAGATAATAGTAATGTGTTGGATGGAACCAAATATTTCTGTATATATACATGGCAATGGAATGTTCTGCGTATTTTTCTTTTCATCTAATATGGTATCAAATTACTTTCAAGATCATTAGTTTATCTACCTTGCTAACCAACGTCTTAAATCTATCGATTGTTATATGGAAATACTGACTTTTATTTAAGTGATATATCACTTTCTTCCATTTAAGTTACCAATTTATTTTGGGAATAGGTTAGGAAACTCAAAAGGCCGACAAACTTAAGCTACTGCAGAGTTCTTTCGTCGGGACGTCGAAGGATTCAATCAAGAGTACAACGATCAACTATGAAGAAAATTCTTTGTTATGTTACTCATCTCACAATCATAAGTGCTCAAGATGAGCGTCTTAGTAAAAATTTAGGCGAAAGGAAAATGAATTACTTTGTGGCTGCTCAATTCCTTTTCTTCATATACCCCAATTGAGCAGGTTCTCTTCTCTTACCTGACTTAGCTACGAGGCTCGGGCTAGGCCATCTCACAAATGGGCCTAGGCCCTTTCGCTTTGGGCCGTTGCCACTTGGCCCATTCAGTATTCTCACTACCTATTTTTTTCTTGGTCAACTAATTGTTTCTTACTAACAAAAAGAATAATTGTTTCTTTTAGATTATGAAACATAAAATCGGGTTATATGATCTATTTTAAATTGTGCTATGGCGTGTTTAGGTAATCGGTTCGAGCCGGAAGGCGATTTATGTTTAAACCGATTTATGTTTAAACCGATTTATGCCCCTTGAGGATGTTGTCCTAATAATTTGGGATCAGAGAGTTATTCCTTTTTCTTTTCGGCAACTCGATCCAAAACAATGGAATTTTACATATTTTGTTGCAATTTCAATCCACTCGGAATTGCAAAAGTTTAATTTGGTAACGAATTGAAATCGCCAATCAAAATGGATAATATCAACAACCCATGTTCTTTTAACCCGAAAATAGATACATTCTACGTACTTTAATTAAATGATCTAACCAGATTTTTCCTTAGGGGGTTAAAGTGATATGTCAATAATAAATTAATTATGTCGAAAATCTTTTGTAAGAATTCACAGGTTATGTTTGGAAGGTCGTGCTACTTTAACAGATGGAATATCACTTTAATTTTCGTCGACAATAATTGCGGTGAATAGTCTTAGTTTGTGCTATTTTCATTTAATTTAAAGAAATTATTGTTCTCTGTTTTAACACTAAAGTAGGCATGTCTGATTTAAAGAAAAATTACCCAACGCATTGTGTGTATACATTGTTCTTGTACTATTTTTGCTTTCAATATGATATTGCCTGATCTTATTTTATTGATTCTATTTATAAAACAATACAATCATTTGGTTTGTTTTAAGTTAATTTAAATGTTTATTAACGGAAAAAAGTTGGTTAAACCAAATAAGAAATGTTTATTTAACACTATTTTCACTAAATGACATTTTTCATACCTAATTGTGAATTATACAATTTGCTAATTTTTTTGCTTAATGATACAGTTAACTCCTAAGTTTTATTTTTAACTAAAGTGTCAACTAGTTAGAATTATGAAAATAACATTAATTTGTCGATCACTTAAAAAACCACTCTTTCTTTATTCAAAACAATATCATCATTGTATATTCGACACAAGCAAATTTCAATCGATAATAAAAGAACAAAAAATTCAAAGGCGTTAATAGCCCTTATAACATGATATGAAAGGGGTCGCTATGGATGGTAATGATGTACAATTGCTGTTGAATCTACAATTTCATCCCTCGAAAAATTTTAGAGGCGTTAATAGCTCTTATAAATTTTGGGGAGAAGAAGAAGAAAATATAAGTTACGATTTCCTAAAAATAAAAAGGATACGGAAATACTCTTTTACTTCTTCAAAGTTACGTGCATTGAACACGTTTACTAAAAGTATAGTAGAAGGTTAACGGCCGTAACAAAATAAAAGTTCGGGAGTAATATGTAATAGTTGAAGGCTTAGGTACAAAAACCTATATGACCCCAACGGTTGGATGAAGTTTTGTGTTATTTAACAAAAAATAGCAATTCCAATATATTTTGGGTGCATTTAGAATCCAATACTCATTCACAGTGATGTGGAGAAAGTATTTTATATGACGGATGCATCACGTATTAGTAAAAGCGTTGTGTAATTGACTAATCACCATTATCAGCGTGCTTGAATCTCATTTTATTTGACGTTACGCATATGTATATGCATCTCACTTTTGATTGATCGGTTACACAATATGTCGCCGTCACGTAATATACTCCTTACATAAAATACCTCATCAACCGAGAAGAGGATTAAAATCAAACATGTTATCCGTCATATGAAATACCTTCTCGATCGAGAAGAGGGTAAAACTCAAATATGTCGAGTATTTTCTGTTTGATAGAAAATTTTATCTACTTATTAGTGCAATTGTGAATAAGGATGGATGATCCCTGCTAAGTGGCGGCTATGCCCAATGAACAATGACAACAATACGTCGGGCTCACGCAAACTCCAACGTAATAGTCAAACTCAATTGTCACTTGGTCTCCTTGGTTGAAATTTTTTGCATTTCATAGAAAACTTTTCTACCATGGACCACAGACGGGAGACATTCTCGCATGCATCGGTGCAAGTAAGCCTAAATGATTTCAGCTCTTAGATTATATGGATTCCGTGTGGGACCTACTAACATCAAGGGTTGAGATGTATTAAGGTCGTGGGCATCGGAATCATTTAAGAATTTTTTCATAATTCGGACACTATTTACTGAATGACTTAAGAGTTAAGTTATACTTTTTTTTGGAAAACTAATAGGGTATATAATATTATTGATTTTTTTATAAAAAAAAATGTCACATTTAGTCATGTTCTCCGCATTTTAGATATGTTTACACTCTAGGGGGGTGTGCCCTGGAGGACAGGGCGCATACTTTTATACAAAAAAAAATGATTAGATATGACACAGAAAAAATTGGATTTGACTCTCATTACATTTGTTTGGAATTCAACAAACAAACACATGCATAGATTAGGTACATATCATATAAAAGGTTAAGATCTATTTAGTACGTGATCTAACGGTCACTAAATCCCGGATCAATCTCTCGATTCATTGTCTTTCATAATAGGGGAGTGAACCGAACCGAACCGATCCGAACCGAATCATTAGGGGTGCACGCTCGAACCAAACTGAATCTTGACTTGAACTGAACCGAACCGCACCGGTTATTAATTTTTTAAATTGTTTTAGATTTCTTGTTCGAGCTTCGATTAAAAATTTCTAAAAGCAAACCATAAAGCCAAATCCGCCATTAATATAAAACTAAAATAAAAAGCCAAAGCTCCTAAGAGGAACGGGGAAATTTCAAGTCATGTGTTAGGGAGTTAGGTTATGTTGCGCTCCTATCTTATTTCAGCGGTTGGGTTTGATCTCTCTCACTATATAGAGGTACTTGCAAAGTCCCACCGCCAGCACACGACACAAGCAGCTCACAAGAAAAACCAGTCATCTCCTGAGACGCTCGAATGGCGAACGCTAAAGAAGTAGAGCTCTTGGGGCTCTGGGTCAGCCCCTTCGTGCGGAGGGTCGAGTGGGCGCTGAAGCTCAAGGGCATACCCTACGACTACATCGAGGAAGACATCCTCAACAAGAGCCCCCTGCTTCTGCGGCTCAACCCTGTTCACCAGACGGTCCCCGTCCTCGTCCATGGGGGCAGAGTGGTCTCCGAGTCCTTCCTCATCCTCGAGTACATCGACGAGACGTGGAAGCACAGCCCTCTGCTCCCTCGCGATCCTTATGAAAGAGCCATGGCCCGATTCTGGGCTTCAGTTGCAGAGAGCAAGGTGAATTTTCTTTCTCTCCTTTTGGGGTCCTCCTTTTCAAGATTTGTCGTTCTTCGAGGGAAGAAAAAAGAAACTGGGTCTCGGTTTTCTTGATCGATCATGTCATAACTGTGTAGTTTGGCTGGGAGTTTGCTGGTAGACCTATAATGATCGTCGAGCATTTCTCTATCCTCTGTCCCGAAAGGAATGAGGCCTATCGTCAGATGCTGCACCTGTTCCTTTCTCGGTGCAGAGAATAATAGCTCTGCTTCCTTACGAGTCGAGCTTAGGAATTGTATTTAAGATTCAACAGTTGTGTTTGGATCGTGATGGTGTGGTTTGTGAGTTACTCTGTTCCTGTGTGTATGATTTCACTCTGTCTTAGGTTGTTCTTCGCTGCGCAGATTGACGCTTGAAGCTCCCACTGTACACGAGTGAGATTGTAAATGGATACTATTGCCTTCTCTATGAGTCTAACCTGACATTGCATTTGGATTCAGTATGGTAAACAAAAGAAAAACAGGCCAAACGGATCCACTCAAATTAGTTCCAATTTCCAAACATTTTCACCAGAGTATTTTGCGAACTGTTGATTCAACGGTGGTTCTCGAAAGCATTCGATGCAAAATGTAGTTATGCTCGTAGTTTAGACTAAAAAATTTGCACCTTCTTAATTTTTACTTGAGCCCGTCTCTAGTTCTTGCATCAGAAATTTATACCTCAAAGATATGATACAAATCTTTGGTTTTGATCCTACAGGTTTTAGAGAATGCTTGGATTGCTATGTGCTCTGAGGAAGGAGAGGAAAAGGAAAGAGCCATAGAATTAGCCACTGAAGCTTTGGGACACATTGAAGGAGTGATCAGAGGCAAGGCCTTCTTTGGTGGTGAAGCAATTGGGTACTTGGACCTTGCAGTCGGTTGGGTCTCTCTTTGGCTGCCTGTCTGGGACGAGGTCGGTTCGATGAAGATCTTCGACCAGGCAAAGTACCCGGCCACCGCGGCATGGACCGGCAGGTTCATCGAGCACCCCGTGATCAAGGAAAACTTGCCGCCGAGGGACAAGATGGTGGTCTACTTCCGCGATAAGCGCAGCCGAATAATGGCTTCCAAGAGTCATGCCTAAGCCAAGATGGTCATAAGGGAAGGTTCTGTTCTGGTTTATGTAGAATGAAGCGATGCTGAACATTCAGCAGATAATAGTAATGTGTTGGATGGAACCAAATATTTCCATATATATATACATGGCAATGGAGTGGGCTGCATATTCTTCTTTTCATCTGTTATATTTCGTCGGTCCACCCATGATGTGTGTGTCCAAGGGACACCATTTGCTCTAATAAGAGGTGTGTCTGAGAGATACCTTTTGAAGAGGTGCGAGGAGAGTTTCTTAATGGAAGTTAAGATAATTTCTTCGGTAGATGAACAATATACAAGAGAAATTCAGAACTCTCTCTCTCGACCCATTAGGATTCCGTATCTACTTTAAGAAGACAATCGGCATTAACGCTGTGGAACAAGAATACTTTTCTTGTGATTGTATTCAGATCAACGTGTAGTAGATTCGTTCATTATTTGCTGGTGATTTAACGTACGATCCTGGAAATTTTGTTTTGGAGTGCATCAAACAGGTTAGTCGATTCTCCCGACACACGCTTCCAACATTGGTATCAGAGCTTCGGTTATGATCTCTGCCTTGTTTTCCCGTTAATTTTTTTCGCTTGCTGTTTGATATGGACATCATGATGATGAACTTCATACTGTTTGCATGTTGATTGCTCGGGAATTGCAAAATGAATCGACGAACATGAATTGAAACGAAGAACGGGTTTGAACGTTACGGGCGACCGTTCTGTTCGAATGATTTTCGAAAACCTTTTTATGGAGAAAATAATTTTTTATTATGTAAAATTGAAGAAATCGTCGAGACGAGCAGAATGGTGGGTCGAACGCCGCCGGAAACCACCAGACGCGCCGCCACGCACGGCCAGAAGCTGCGGCCCGTGGAAGCCACGTGCCCCAAGGCGTTGGCACTACCAGGGCGTGGATGGCACGCGCGCGTCGGCCAAACGGCTCGTGCTGACGTCATCGATGACGTCAGCAAAACTGTCGGTAACAACACGCTGACGTCATCTCGCCGGCCGGCCAACCGACCTCCGGCAACTGGCGACCGACCCGACCGGCGACCCGACCCGACCGAAGACCGCAGACCCGACCCGACTTGGAGAGCCGACCCGGATGACGACCCGACCCGACCCGATGACCCGACCCGTGACCGGTCAACAGTCAACCGGTCGAACCGGTCAACGGTCGAGCCGGTTGGACTGGTCGGACCGGTCAAACGTCAAACCGATTGGACCGGTCGGACCGGCTTCAGAAGCCCGAATTGGGCATGCGCGTGAGCCACACGCGCCGCGCACTTAGGCGGCGCGTGTGGTCGCGTGGAAGCTCCGATCGGGCTGTGGTTGGTACCGTTGTGTTCGTATTGAAATTCTCTACATTATGGTGTTGTTATTTTATATGTTTGAACCTTATAAATGTATGAAAATGCATACGGCACCCTAAATACTTGTATTTTTGGGGTATTATTGCATTTTACTTGTATTTCCCTATGGTTTTGGAAATACAGAAGCTGGCTTACATGTAAATGACCACATAAATATTATGTAGAGCATGATTCATTGATGGCATGTTTATATGGTTTGACGTGCTTGCAATTTCCTAATTTTTTAGCATATTAAAACAATGGCCGGAGATCCTTACGTCATGAATTCCGCTGTTGATTATATTTGTTGCATGAATGTTCTATTTGTTGATTTACATCATACCATGCTATATGATTGCTAGAAAAGATGTGATCATTGTTTTAAATATTTTTTGTGAATTATCTAGTCTAGTGGGAGTTCGTAGGTTGGTAGAATTAGAAGAAATTCTCACCTAGAACTTAAAGTTTGCACAAATTAAACAAGTTAATGATAGTAGAACAATCGTACGCCGAAGCTGATTGGGAACATTGTGAACTTTCGTTTTGGTGTCTTTTGTTGAATTATCATTAATTTAGTTTGTCTTTGCTGCAAATTAAAATGTGTGTTTATGTAGAAAATGTGCTAGTATTGATTTTGCGTTTATTATGTCAATGTGTAGTAGACAGTGATTATGGCTTCGGCATCCAAGACCATTGTGGTTGACCTCAATAAGGGTGAGAAGGTGAACGGTGACAATTATGATATTTTGCACCGAAAAGTTCAATATATTCTTGAGGAACAAGAGGTTTTGGAAACCCTCAACCACACCATGGATGAACCTGAGCATGAAACTTCTGCTCAATACAAAAGAGATCAAGAAGCTTTTCAAGCTTGGAAAACTAAAAATAGCATTGCTCGCATCACGTTGCTGAGCTGTATGCAAGATGATCTCATGTGTGAGTTTGAAAGTTATGACAAAGCTCAAGCAATGTGGGTTGCATTGAAAGATAAGTTTGGGGGTACGTTTGTCACTAAGTTGAGGAGGCTCACCATCAAGTTTGACACGTACCGGAAGCGCCCAAATTTAACAATAAGGCAGCATCTTCGGGAGATGTCAAACATGGTACGTGAGTTGAAGTCGGCAGGTCATTCCCTAACTGATGAACAGCAAGTTCAGGCTGTTATAATGTCTCTTCCTAACAGCTAGGAACACATGAAAATCAATATGACGCACAATGAAAATATCGTCACTTTTGGTGATATTGCGCGTCATTTGGAATTAGAAGATGAGCGCCTAGAGGCTGCAAAATCCTCTACCCATGCTTATGTTGTTGAATCAGGTTCGCAGAAAGTTTCGAGCTTTAAGCGCAAGAGGAACCATAAATTCAATAACAAAGGGAAAGAGACTAATCAAGCACCCAAGAGAGCCAAGACCTTCCCACGCAGGAAGCGTAGCGGGAAGAAGGACAAGGCCAAGATGATGTGCTACAATTGTGGCAAACTGGGCCACTTCGCTCGTGAATGCACTGAGCCGAAAAAGGTACCACATTACTCTATTACTTTGAGTAATGCTTTTGTTTCTAGCACTGTAATGCTTGCTGAATCTCATCCAATGTGGACTGTAGACTCAGGAGCAACAAACCACGTAGCTAAAGACCGAGGAGCATTTGTGGAGTATCGTCGGATACAGCCTGGAAGAAGATGGATATATGTTGGAAATAACTCAAGAGTTGAAGTGAAGGGTATCGGCACATGTAAATTAACATTTCGTGGTGGTCGAAACCTATTCCTACATGATGTCCTCTATGCTCCAGATATTCGGCGAAACTTGGTCTCGTAGTTGTTCTTCTTAGCTTATGTTATGTATTTAATTTTCATGGTGATTGTGTTGACATTTTGTTTGGAACAGTTTATTACGGTTCTGGTTATGTATTGAATGGTTTTATGGTGTTAGACATTGACTATGATGTGTACAAAGTTAATGTTGATGGTTGTTTTTCTTTAATTGCATCTTCTAGTAATGTGGAGATTGATGCAAGTACTTGGCATGCTAGACTGGGTCACATTGGGTTACATTGAATGAAACGATTAGCTAGAGAAGGTCTTTTGGGGTCACTCGCTAATGTTGAACTACCCGTATGTAAACATTGTCTAGCGGGAAAAATAACTAGAAAACCATTTGGTAAAGGAACCAGAGCTGAACTTCCATTGCAACTTATACATTCTGACATTTGTGGTCCTTTAAATGTGAGGGCGAGGCATGGAGCCTCATATTTCATCACTTTTATAGATGACTTCACGCGTTTCGGTTATGTTTTTCTGATCTCTCATAAGTCCGAAGCATTGGATTGCTTTAGGCGGTTTATAGCTTTGGTAGAGAATCAGTTGAACAATACAATAAATGCATTGAGAACCGATCGCGGATGTGAGTATCTATCTGAGCAATTCAAGGCTCTTTATGATGGAAAGGGAATTGTAAGACAATTGACTATTCTAGGTACTCCGCAACAAAATAGGGTTGCAGAGAGAAGGAGTAGAACCCTATTAGAAATGGTTAGGTCTATGATGGCGTAGGCAAATCTACCTGTCTCATATTGGGGAGATGCGTTATTGACTGTTGCTTATATACTTAACCGTGTCCCCTCTAAGTCAGTCACTTTCACCCCCTATGAATTGTGGACTGGTAGGAAACCAGACTTAAGTTATCTACGACCTTGGGGGTGTACAGCATATGTTCACGATTCTTCTCATAAATATGGCAAATTAGGCCCTAGAAGGAAGAAGTGTATCTTTATTAGATACTCTGAACACTACAAAGGATACGTGTTCATAGGTGAACAAGCTAATGGAAGTGTGACTGAAATGGAGTCACGAGATGTCACGTTCTTGGAGAACGATTTTCCTAGTAGAGGTGAGATCGATAAGGACTTCCAATTACATGAGATGGAAGATCCCGATAACACACCCACTAATGTTATTGAGAGAAATACAGATTTACCTCAACATACAAGACCTAGTGGGAGTGTTGCATCGCCTGACGAACTGAATTCACAAGAAGTTCAGTTGCGTAAAAGTAGTCGTAAAAGTATTCCCTGTCATCGTTTTGAGATTGAAGGGGAAGCTTTTATGATTGCTCCACAAGACGATGCGGAGCCTAAGACAGTTCAAAAGGCTCTCTCATCCCCTGACAAGGAAGAATGGAGAAAAGCTTTGGAAGACGAAATGGAGTCTATGAGGACAAACCACGTCTGGGACTTGGTTGATCTGCCACCCGATCGCAAGGCTATTGGAAACAAATGGATTTTCAAGATTAAGCGAAGGGCGGATGGATCCATTGAAAAGTATAAGGCTCGTCTTGTGGCAAAAGGCTATACTCAACAAGAGGGTGTAGACTATGAGGAAACTTTTTCACCAGTTGTAAGGTTTGCCTCCATACGCCTTATCCTAGCCATTGTTGCACATTTGGACCTAGAATTACATCAAATGGATGTAAAGACAGCATTTCTCAATGGAGAACTAGATGAAGAAATCTATATGAAGCAACTGATAGGTTTCATTGCTGAAGGTCAAGAGCGTAAAGTTTGCAAATTTCATCGCTCAATTTATGGCCTTAAGCAATCGTCTAGACAGTGATATTTTCGTTTTCATCAAGCCATAACTTCTTTTGGGTTCACGATGATCGAAGAGGATCACTGTGTGTATATCAAACGGTCCGAGGATAAATTTATGATTTTATCTCTTTATGTGGACGATATTCTATTGGCTGGGAATGACAAGGGTTTGGTTATAACCATAAAAGAATGGTTATCTTCTAATT